TTAGATGACCATCCCTTCCCAAGCCTATGGCGGAGGATGTGGTAGTCACGTGTCCCTCCTGAACGCTTCCTTCTCTCTCTGGCTTTCCTTCAAGCAGCTTCCTGCAGAGCCTGGACCCAGGGGCTGAGGACGTGTGTGAAGGTGCAGCAGGTAGGTGCCTTCGCCTCGTGGCTCTCGGATTGCTCCCGGGGGCGGCTGCCTCGGCCGTGGAGCCCCTTCTGGAAAGCAGACGAGAGAAGGCCCATCTGCCCACGGGAGTCTCGCCGCTGCCCTGCGGGTGCTGAAAAAAACCAAGCTGCCTCTCTCAGGATTGCAAGTGGGGTTGCCAGGTGTCCGGTTTTCGCCTGCACTGTCCCTTATCTGGATCCCCCATCTGGTTAAAAAAACCCAGAAAATACTGGACACGTGAAATGTCCGGTATTTCCTGTTTCCCTCAGACAGAAGCTTAGCGGGGACAATTTTCCGCTGCCACGTGTGGCGGGGGCAGGGGAGTGAGGGCCATTTAAAGGTGCAGTGCACTTTTTTTTTTTTTGCTCAACAACTTTAGTCTCCCCCTTTTTTTCTCTCAACAGAATTTTTTCTCTTTGTATTTTTTTTTGGGGGGGGGGGGAGATGTTTGGTATTTTTTGTTAAACCATCTGGCCACCCTAATTGCAAGGCCTTGTCTATGCTCGGTTAGTCTGCCTCCAGCCTCCCACCACCTGTGCTGCTCCAGTGGTGGGATTTTTCCTACTCTCCCCGCAGCGCAGGCCTTTAAAGTGCCCGTGTCCCCCAGATGTAGCATGCCCGCTTTCACTACCAGACAGGCTCAGTGCTGGGGCAATGGAGGGACGTGACCCCCGAACTCTAGGGCCTTCGGTCTAGCAAAACCCTGTCTGGAAAACTATCCTGAGCTGCAGCCCTGGCATGAGAACCCTATTGCTAGCAAAATGCCTTCCCGTCCTCTACATTTCCACCTTCCAAGGCTGAGACCATGATACTGCAGGAAAGTAGTTTGGTCGAGACCGTGCCGTAAACCCCAGGCTGTGTTAGCCATAGGGAAGAGAGCATCTGTGCTCGTGGTTTAAACACCCCGGTAACGCAGTGTGCAGTGCTAGAATGGAACAGCAGGGCCTAGGAGCCAGGCCTCCTGGTTTCTCTTCCCAGCCTTGGAGTAAGGGGGCGGTGTGGAATTTTCAGAATGGCCTTGACCCACATGTGCACATGCAAATCATTCCCCCTGGGATTAGCTTTTCCCCAAGAATTCAGGTCCCCGTCGGGCAGGTCTCAACGGCGATCCTGGAGTGTGGCGGCAACTTGAGCGGTACCCAGCTTTAATGTAGCTACCTCTGGGATCAAAGCAATGATGCCAACACAGCCTGCACTCCACTGCAGGGCAGGCGCTGGGAGTCATTACCCAGGGTTCCAGGCAGGTTTGTCCAGCTTGTGCGTCCAGCTGCGGCGTCCCTGCTCCTAGAGCCAAGCCGGGTAGACTGAAGCTAGCTCGCGATCGGGACTCCCACCCTGTGACTGCAGTGTAGACACATCCACAGGCTCCTAAATAAGAGCCGCATTTTCCAGAGATCCCAGCAGCTCCTGCTGTGAGCCTCCGAGCCAGATTGTCAGCCGAGATCAGCCTGCATCCAGTGTGCTGAGTGGTGCTGCCAATTCCGCCCTCATGCCCCGAAGAAGGCAATTAGGACTCCCCTGGGCAAACCTGCCAGCCCTGCCCCTGTAGGGATCCTGAGCAGCCTCATTCCACCCGCACATTGGCTTCTCCTTCTGCCAGCCGCCCATTAAACCCCTGTGGTGCAGAGCTGGGAGGCACCAGCCCGTGCATGTGTGCAGAGCACTTGGAGATCTTTGGCTGGAGTGCCGGTGCAGAGAGTGGCTGTGCAAATGCAGCACAGGCATGGGCAGTGGGCACGCTAGGTGGGGGAAGGCTCCGCCTCCCAAACCCGCCAGCCTGGCCCCGCCCCCAGAACGCCTACAGTAGGTGTACTGAGGGTGGAGTATTGCTGCCCTCCTCCGGGGAGGCTAGGGCTGTTCACTCCCTCCTGGGGGCGTGGCTTGGCTCCCATGGAGGGCGGGGCCTCAGCAGAAGGGGTGGGACTGGCGATGGGTCTAGAGGCCCCAGCCCGCTTCACCCACCGGCCATGAAAATGGGGTTTTTTCGCCTCTCTGCCAGGCCCCGTGTGTCCATGTGCACAGAGGCCGGGGCTGCGTTTGGCTGGGATTTGGGGCCTCCAAACACTAGCTCTCTCATTATTCCCCCTGTTGTGTCTCCTCTTCCCCTTACACCTTTTCCTTTCCGCCCGCGCTCCTCTAACCCCGATCCCCCGGTTCCAAGAACAAGTAGCGCAGGAAGCTCTGAAAAAGGTGAGCGTGGACCCGACCAGCTACATCTACCTCCCGTGCCCTCTGCGCTCCCACCACGCCATCTACACCTGGGTCAAGGACGGCACCAAGCAGTACCCCTGTGCCATGGACGGGCACTCCTGCACGCTACGCTTTGGGGAGAACACCCCCATGGACCAGGGGCTGTTCAAATGCACAGCCACCGAGGATGGCTATCGAGAGGAGATCACTGCCTATGAACTCACGCTGAACGTGGCCTGCCTCCCACGGCTCTCCTTGACAGTGGCCACGGGTGTTCTCCTCCTTGCCATCACCATCTTGTTGCTCTAGACCCTGCCATCCATACGGAGATCTCATTACACTGCCAACGACCTCTCTTTTGTTTTTCTTCTAGTTACCCTCCTACCTGAGGATTCCCCCTTTGAGCCCCAAACAAAACAGGCGGCGCTCTAGAAACAAAATTCCAGCCGACGCCTCCTACCGCAGCAAACACAGCCGTTGCGGTGGAGGTTTTGACCACCAACAATAATTACCAAGAAGCCTCTTTCCCAAAATATAAGCCACAGGAAGAGCCAGGGAGAGGGGGGAGTTGGAAGAGAGGCAAGGAGGAGAAATGGACTGTTTATTTTGCTGCCCAGTGAATTTGTTCAGCCCTAGGACCTGCTGCCAAGCTGATCCCAGTTTGCTCGGTGGACACGGATCCAGAGTGGGTGTTTGTTCCAACGCTGCTGAGTGTTGGGATTTTGCTGCTTGCAGTCATGTGGCTTTCTAAGGCTTCTTTAAGGCACACTCCGCCACAGGTGTGAGTCGATCTCTTCCCACTCCAGCTGCTCGGAACTAAATACTTTTAGCATTCAAGTTGTAGAAAGGGAAACTCTCCAGCTGAAGCCCCAAGTCTGATCCTTCACATCCCATTCAGAGTCATGAGGCAGGCTGTTCTCTCTGCATCATGTAGTGCACGGTTACCCCGATGACCAGCTTGGCCATCCTGGGTTTTCAAAGGAAGAGAGAAATCATCCAGACACCCGCACTAGGGTAAATGCATTGACTTGGAACTTCCAGCGGTGGATCCCCTCCAACCTATGATGGTCAGAACTTAGCCACCATCCAAGACACTAGAAGGTTTCAATCGGAGCCACCCAGAGGTCGCTGCACCAGAGACTGGTGCCTGTGGGAGGGTTCTAAGGCTTGATTCGGTAAGACTGGCTCAAATCCAAGCAACAACGCTGAAAAAGGGAGAGATGGTGACGGGCTAGAAGGGGTTTCAGGCAGAAAAGGAAAAAGGGAGGGAAGATATGTTAGCATCTGAGTGGTCCTACCTGTGTCACTCCGGAAAGCGTGCACATGAAGAGGAGCGGTAGCTGAGTGGGGAAGATGCTGTCTTACCAGCCTGAAGGCTGGGGGGCGGGGGAGATGAGTCTTGCATGATCCCCTGTTGGAATGTTTTCTCCATTTCCCCCAGCTGTGAAATGGACCCCGCTCCCTCAAGTTCCTTGTGTACCACTGGCTCTGAAAGCAATGTGCCTTAGCTGTGTCAGCCCAATGAGCCAGGGGCTTGGGGAAGCTTTGACTCCAATCTGACTCTGCTGTAATGGAGATCCAAATCTGGCCCAGAGACCAGGAAAGATGGGTGCCAATCTTGCACCACTGCTCTTTCCCAGCCAAACCAGGGCTCTGGTTTGTGTTCTATGGTACGGAAAGAGTTAAGCATGACCCCTTTTTCCACCTTCCAAGTCCTGAAGATACAGACCAAGCCAGTTCCCTGGATGTTAAACTGCATCGGCTGAATTTGCAAGCAAGCCTAAAAAAACAAAGAACATAAGAATGGCCAAACTGGGTCAAACCAACGGTCCGCCTAGCCCAGTATCCTGTCTTCCCACAGCAGGCAGGGCCAGATGCTTCAGAGAGCAAACAGAGCAGGGCAATTTATCATATGATCTGTCCCTTGTCACCCAATCTCAGCTCCTGGCTGGTTGTGTTTAGAGACACCTTGAATATATATGGTTGTGTCCCAGACCACCTTCGCTAATCGCCATTGATGGACCTATCTGCCAAGAACTTATCTCATTCTTTTTTGAACCCAGTTATACTTTTGGCCTTCACAATATCCTCTGGCAGTGAGTTCCGCTGGTTGATTGCATGTTACATGAAGAAGCGCTTCTTTATGTTTGTTTTCATCCCGCTGTCTACGACTTTCAGTGGGATAAAATTCTGGTGATTCTCAGCCAGAAACCAAAGTCTCCCTTTCAGCAGGCTCTGCTACGTGCCAAAACAGCTGTCTGCATCTGGGTACTCCACATCTGCCAGAATCCAGCTGCTTCCGTCGCCTCATCTTCAGCAAAATATTTTTTATCTTTATATAAAATACATATGACAATTTTCTTTTGGGGGGGGGGGAAGGGATGCGGGGAAAAAAATCTTCTAGTCCCTAAACTGGCTGTAGCCACCCACTGTTTGAATGTAACTAAGGGACCACTTAGTTTAAAAACACAACCAAACATGTAGGACTTTAGAGTAGCTCCTTTTGCTTGTATTTATCAGCTCTGGATATGTATTTGGTGTTATTAAAGAGGTATTGTATACTGAGCATAAGGCTAGGGCCCAGGCCCTACTGGATTCCAACCCTAGCTCTGTCACCAACTCACAGTGAGACACTGTGCCTCAGTTTCCGCATCTGTGACATGGGGCTAAAACTCTTCCATACCTGACAGAAGTGTTGTGACTATTCATGAGATATTGTTTGAAAAGCACAATGGAAATGCTGCATATGGAAGCAATGGGAACATGGGGCAGTGTATTGGGAGTCACAGAATTCCATTTCAATGCATGTAGAGTTGTCCCCAGCTGACCTCACCTGCAGTTCTAGATCTGCCCTTAGATTGGCTGGGAAGGATTTCCCTGCAAAGGAAGAGAAGTAGGCGTAGGAGTGAGGGATGTGTGGGTGGTCAATTGTAAGGCCTGGCAGCTGCTGCAGGTGGGGTGTGTGAGCAGAATAATGTCCCGGTATGGGGAACTCAAAGAAGGATGCAGATCTTTTTATAGATCATTAGTGGTTTTATTTTTTACCCATCCCTACTTTTACTCATCTGCTCTTCTCCCCACCCATGCCTTGGGCTGGCACCTCTTAAAGGCAGTGCCCAAGCTGCCAGTGAAATCCCAATGTGTGGGTTTTGCAATCCCTGCTCATCCTAGACAGGAAGCAGAGAGATTTCTGCAGCTGTATCCAGCCAGATTTTGATGCATGGCCATTAAATGGAATGTACCAAGTGCAAGGAGACCAGCCATGACTGCAAGAAAAGTAATTGACTAGATGCATACAAAGCAGACTGGTAGCACTTAACATTAAGGTCAGCAGGGAAGAGGGGTCTCAGAAAGGTTGCAGGATTATGGAAGAGGCAACACAGCAAAGGGTGCCCTCTTTGCTTTAATTGGTGTAGTTATATAGGAGGCAGTGTGGTATAGTGGTTAACACAGCAGCAATCCATATTCTGTTTCGGAATGGCAGTGAGACCTGGATACATGCTACCACTGTTCTGTGCCTTGATTTCCCCATCTACTGCTAGAGCCCTGACAATATATTTTAATTACATATACCACTGTTTGGAAGTCAAATGAGGCCAAGGTTTTGGATACCGCCCCACTAGGGAGGACAGAAAGAAGAGAACCTAACATTTGCAAAAAATAAAGACCTTGACTATTAAACCAACAGCTGGGCTCCATGCTGCTGAATGACACCCAGCCCGACTCTGCTTTTTGGCTCTGTGCTGATGACTGTTTCCCTTATTAGCCCACTATGTCCTCCAGTGAGATGAGGAAGGCCCTGCAGCAGAAGAGAGTTATGTTAATTTTAGGAGAGGAAACCGGAATGAGATTCTTGGAGCGTGATCACAGGAAGTCCCGGTGTTGCTAAGTCTTGTCATGGCTGGCATTTTACTTAAAGTTCCTGCATATCGGGATCTCAGCTGTCATTTAAAAAAAAAAGGTTTAAAAAACCCAGTCTCATGAGCCTGTGCTCATTTTTCAGTGTTTAGTACTGGCCATGCTGATAGTCCCATGTTTGCACCAAATTGGGGCACTGTACACTGGAGAAACACAAGTTTATTTTTCCCCTTTCCCATCTGATCGTACATACCGTCCATCGCTAGAGAAACGCAAAGAACAACAAGAAGCTGTCTTTAACTGCCTCTTAGAAAACAATACTCTGTCCTTTCTTTCTGAAAGAAACAGAGCAATAAATGTTGCCTTGCTCCCTCCCATGGCATATACTCCCACTCTTGCAGGACCCTGCTTTGCTGTGTAGTAATCTGAATATGTCTGTGTGTTCCTCCCCTTTGTAACATGTGAGTCCTTATTAAAAAAAAAAAAAAAAAAAAGCTGATGTTCCACTCTCTTCTAAGTCGAAGGAAAATGTAACACGTCCTGGGGAATGGAATAATTAAATATGTGCAATCACCAGACGGCTGAATCTGTAAGTATGAGATGATTGAATTTCTCTCTCTCTCTCATGACATGATCCAGTGGTATACAGCAGTGTTCCCTGTAAACTGAGCATTTGGTGGCCATTCAGGAATGATTTAAGAGCCCCCCCTCCAGCTGATTAGCAGGGCGCCCACAGTGTCCATAACTAGGTTTTGTGTTTCTATGGGTGGTGCACATCTGCACTTGTCTTGATGCACACAACAAAATTTATTCTGTACATAGGTAGAACATTGGTGTAGAGTAGCCCATCGTCACTGACTGAAAAAGATGCTACTGCCCCAGAAAGATGCTTTCAGCCATGCTGCCCTCCTTTGGCATTATTTAGGATTAGGGGTGATTGGTACCTGGGTGGGTAACCTTCCAGGAACCCTGTATGTTTCAGGAATTTGGCTAAGTCAAGTTCTTGACTCTGACTTGACTGCAGTCATCATAGAGTAGGGAGACAACAAACTTCAACTGAGGCCATGTCCTCCTATGGCCATTGACCATCCCATGGCATTGTTAGCAAGAGTAAGGGGAGTAACCCCAGTGTCCTAACAAAGCTCATACATGGATAGTTAAAGTCTTCCTGCATCAACTCCCCCTGCAGTTCCACCAGATGCTGTTGAGGGCTGTTAAATAGCTGCCATGTTTAACAGCAGCGGTGGCTACATTTCAGCAGTAGGTGAGCTAGTGATAATCTTGAAAGTGTTTTGCCATGATGGGTGCTGTGGAAATGTCAGTTGCCATCTTTCTTCTCTCTTGCATCTTGCTTTCAGCCACGTCCCCTCGGGTTATTTGAAGATCCCTAACATGGGCCAGAGACTTGGAATGTTACCTTTATAGCAGGCTCATTCTCTTAGACCTCGTGGTGTGTCCAGGCAAATTCTCTGGTTCGGCACCGATCAGGTCCCGAGGGTACTGGACTAGAGAGGTTCAACTTGTACATAGATTACAAAGGCAGAAGAGACTACTGTGATCATCTAGTCTGGTCCCCCACCCCCCACCCCGTATAGCACCGGCCATAGGACTTCAATGAATTAGTATGTTTGAACTAGAATTTTTAGAAAAAACATACCATCTTGATTTAACATTGCCAGGGATGGAGAATCCCCTACAACCATAAGAAAGCTGGTCCCATGGTTAATTGTCCTCAGCATTCAAAATGTATGCCTGATTTCTGGTCTGAATTTGCCTAGCTTCGCAGCTGTTGGATTACATTATACCTTTCTCTGCAGAGTTGAAGGGCCAATTACCGATTGCTTGTTCCTCTTGTTGGTACTTCAAGTAAACTGAGGCCAAGTTACCCCTTGTCTTAGTGAAACTCAACAGATCAAGCTACTTGAGCACTAAGTGGCAGGAAGGTAGAACTGTGTGCAATGGAGATTTTGCAATTTGAGATTTGTCTACACAGGGAAATTGACCGGCATAGCCATAGGAAATAGCTAATCTGGTATCACTAAAAGCTCTCCAAATAAAAGACTTTAGAGTGTCCACATGGGGGCGGGGGAGGGGAGGAGTTATAATGGACTAGCTAAATTTTAGAGAAACAAGGTAGGTGAGATAATACTCTGGGACCTACAAAGCTGTAACAGCACTGCTTAGAGCTAAATTTTATCAGAATAGCTGTAGCAGAATCCCATTCTAGGGATGCAGGAAATCCCCCCTCCATGTAGACAAAGCCAACATCGTGATAAACCTATTTATATGCTTCTCCCTCCATTAGAAAACCCTGAGTTGTCACGGGTTTTACATGGAAAAATACAAGGGCTTTCCTCTGCATTTGCCTGACATGAGATTAGCATTTATGACGTGGGATTTCCTCAGCTCCATAGAGATGTTTGTTGGTGAAGCAGCAGTGAGAGGGGAAGGCAAAGGAGAATGACGAGTAAAGATTAAACTAGTGAGCTCAACAGTGAGTTGCACTGCTGGGTGAGAGTCCCGGGCCTCCTGCTGGAGCTAGCTTGGGAGGGCTGAGGCTGGGGTGCTCCACTGATGCACCAGGCCTCTGGGGGGATGATGCAGATGCTTCTAATTTGGGGTTGCAGGAGGAGGTTTAGCAGGGCTATATGAAAGAGAAAGAAATCAAGGGGCAGGTGACTCTAGAGGGGATATGGGCAAACAGGAAGGGAGATAGGGAAGGGCTGACAATTGAGAGAGGCAGTTTGGTAATTGCCCCTGTCATAGTTTGTCTGGGCATGTCATGACATCACAGTGGCTTTTATGACATCACAGTGGCTGCCAAAGTGTTGAGGCATCTACCTCACCCCTGCCACCATGACAGGAGTATTGAAGTGCCCCCCAATGCAGCCTGGGGCCTCTCAGTGCTCCCTCCCCCCCCACCATGTCATGACATCACAGTGGCTTTTATGACATCACAGTGGCTGCCAAAGTGTTGAGGCATCTACCTCACCCCTGCCACCATGACAGGAGTATTGAAGTGCCCCCCAATGCATCATGGGGCCTCTCAGTGCTCCCTCCCCCCCCACCCTAATGCATCATGGGGCCTCTCAGTGATGCCCCCCAGTGCATCTTGGAGCCTCTCTGAAC